GAGACTTGGTGCGTGGTGTAGGCACTGGTGGGAAAAGGCTGGAGACACGCACCATACAGCTAGTGCGTGGAGGAGACACAGGGCTCTGCAGACTTACAGGAAGCCTAGTGCGTGGTGTAGGCACCGGTGGTACTGGGCTGGAGCGGGGAGGTGGCGCCGGAAATACCGGACCGTGCAGGCTTACTGGCCCCCTTGAGCACTGAGCCTGCCCAACCTTACCCGGGTTGATGCTCCCCGTCGCCCGACCAGTACAGGGAGGTGGAATAACCCGCACCGGCCTATGAGGGCGAACCGGGAACACCATGCGTAAGGCTGGTGCCATGTACGCCGGCCCGAGAAGACGCACTGGTGGACTGATGCGTTGGGCCGGCTTCATGACATCCGGCTCAATGCTCAATCTAGCCCGGCCGATACGTGGAGCTGGAATGTGTCGAACCGGGCTATGCCTGCGTACAGGAGACACCATGCGCTCTACTGCGTAACACGGTGTCTGCCCGTACTCTCGCTCTCCACGGTAAGTCCAGGGAGTAGGCGCAGGTCTCCTACCTGACTTCGCCACACTCCCTTTTAGCCCCCCCCCAAGAAATTTTTGGGTAGTACCCACGGGCTTCCAGCCTCGACTCCGTGCTGCCTCCTCATACCACCTCCTCTCGGCTTTAGCTGCCTCCAGCTCTTCACGAGGGCGGCGATACTCTCCCGGTTGTGCCCAAGGACCCTTTCCATCCAGAATCTCCTCCCAAGTCCAAGAATCCTTTATAGGCGTCCATGAATCCTTCGGAGCAGGGTCCTGTTGCCGCTTGACACGCTGCTTGGTCCTTTTATGGTGGGTTTTTCTGTCACGACCGTCTGAGGAAGCGGACCAATACGCAGCGCGTTGAGTGAACATGATGACTTTATTAAAGAAAGCACGTAACTACAAAACAAAATACGATCGTGAAGTCCTACAGTGACTAATACTGAACCTGGAACAAAAACCCACCATACCCACAGGAAAACATACAGAATAAATATGGCTCCCAATCAGAGATAACGAGCCGACAGCTGACACTCGTTACCTCCGATTGGGAGTCATCGACCAAACCTAGAAATACAACCACCAGAAATGCAAACATAGAAATACACCCAAATGCCCAACATAACCAAACCAAAACCCAACAACACAAAATACACCCTGGCTCAAATACAAACGTCCCGGAGCCAGAGTGTCACACTGGGTTGGAAATGACCATGGGCAGCAGCTCAGTTGTCTGAATACACCTGTTCATATAGGGAGATACAAATATGGAGTCTATCTGTGAAAATGTATTATGTCTTGAAGAAAATAAAGTATAATCTTTGACAGTCAAATTCCTTAGACGCCAGGCATCAAAAATATTAAGCTCTGCAGCAAATGAGATGAGATCACCAGAGGCCTGATCAGTTTGAGAGTGAGATGAAACATGAGACCTATCTAACTGAGAATTACATACTCTCACAACAAGTTGGCATTCTGAAATATCTAATAGTCTTTTAGAGATAGAACTAAGGAAATTAGAATCTGGTATGTTTGGACAGTAGATTGAGGCAAAACATCAGGCTCCCGAGTGTCGCAGCGGTCTAAGGCACTGCATCTCAGTGCTTGAGGCGTCACTACAGACCCCCAGGCTGTATCACAACCGGCCGTGATTGGGAGTCCCATAGGGCGGCGCACAATTGGCCCAGTGTCGTCCGGGTTTGGCCGGTGTAGGCAGTCATTGTAAATAAGAATTTGTTCTTAACTGACTTGCCTAGTTAAATAAAGGTAAAATAAAAAAACACATCTTAGTGTGATTTATAACCATAGTTACAAATACAAAACGTCCTGCATTATCAGAACCAGGTGGGTTTCTTGTATTAGGGCAGAACCAGGTGGGTTTCCTGTATTAGGGCGGAACCAGGTGGGTTTCCTGTATTAGGGCGATACCAGGTGGGTTTCCTGTATTAGGGCAGAACCAGATGGGTTTCTTGTATTAGGGCAGAACCAGGTGGGTTTCTTGTATTAGGGAAGAACCAGGTGGGTTTCTTGTATTAGGGCAGAACCAGGTGGGTTTCTTGTATTAGGGCAGAACCAGGTGGGTTTCTTGTATTAGGGCAGAACCAGGTGGGTTTCTTGTATTAGGGCAGAACCAGGTGGGTTTCTTGTATTAGGGAAGAACCAGGTGGGTTTCCTGTATTAGGGCAGAACCAGGTGGGTTTCCTGTATTAGGGCAGAACCAGGTGGGTTTCCTGTATTAGGGCAGAACCAGGTGGGTTTCCTGTATTAGGGCAGAACCAGGTGGGTTTCCTGTATTAGGGCAGAACCAGGTGGGTTTCCTGTATTAGGGCGATACCAACCTTTTTGCGTCTGATGTGCTCTAAGCATTTGGTACGCTTGATAGCGGAATTCAAACCTTGGGGATTTAACGACATTACGATGAGCTCACGGTTAATTTAAAATCTTTGTCAGATAGAATGTATGGATAAGTGCATGACAAAAATAAACAAGAAATTAAATAGAAAACACCTACTTCAGGAACAAATATTTGTGCACCATTATACATATTTGTGAACAGACTCTGGCAGCTGGGTTTGAACAATATTACAAACAAAACCACTAAACACTCGCAAGAGAGGAAGTCTATAGCTTCAACTGCTCTCTTTGGATGGTAGGAACTCTAATTTGCTAACATCAGGAGGCTCCCAAACAGCGACGCACGTCCAAGTCCAGTCCCATTATGTCAGACACCTGTCTTTATCCAACATGACGTGAATACGTAGCAAAATTACAATTCACAGAACACGTTCATACCAAGCTGAGCGCTCTGTATGTTAATCCCCATAAAGTTTACCCTACCCCAGGACTGCTTTACTGACGGCTATTTTAGCCAGCTAACATGTACAGCCTGAACCAAATAATTCTCTAGCCAGCTAACCTAGCCAGCCACATGCCAGCCAGCTGCATCTTAGCAATATAACCAGAATGCCAACAGCCAAGTTAACAAATCCACCAGGCCCCTCATACCAAATGAACTAAGTTATGTCGCTGAATAACAAATAAACATGGGTGACGTTAGCTAGTTAGCTTAGCATTAGTTGTGTCCATTTTACTGGTTAAGATGGGCATACATACGATGTGGTATCCAAGGAAGGAGGGAGGCCGTAGTTGTCTGTTTCTACCGTCTGCAGTGGGGAGAATCTGGAGGAATGGGGGGCGATGACTGGGCTCCTTCTTGTAGTTGTCCTCAGCTGCAAGGCATGCCTCTGCTTCTTCCACATTATGGAATTCTTGGAGTGTTCCATTTTTCCTGATCTTCAGGATGGCTGGGTATATCAGGAACAGGCGAAGTCCTCTTGCTGTCATCTGTCGTTTGACGTGGTCGAAGGATTTCCTCTTCAGTGTGTTTTCGTTGCTGTAGTCTGGGTAGAATGCCCAAATTGGATCTCCCATGTCTCGGTGGGTTCTCGAGGGCCCCATGTCTCGGTGGGTTCTCGAGGGCCCCATGTCTCGGTGGGTTCTCGAGGGCCCCATGTCTCGGTGGGTTCTCGCGGGCCCCATGTCTCGGTGGGTTCTCGCGGGCCCCATGTCTCGGTGGGTTCTCGAGGGCCCCATGTCTCGGTGGGTTCTCGAGGGCCCCATGTCTCGGTGGGTTCTCGCGGGCCCCATGTCTCGGTGGGTTCTCGCGGGCCCCATGTCTCGGTGGGTTCTCGCGGGCCCCATGTCTCGGTGGGTTCTCGCGGGCCCCATGTCTCGGTGGGTTCTCGCGGGCCCCATGTCTCGGTGGGTTCTCGCGGGCCCCATGTCTCGGCGGGTTCTCGCGGGCCCCATGTCTCGGTGGGTTCTCGAGGGCCCCATGTCTCGGTGGGTTCTCGAGGGCCCCATGTCTCGGTGGGTTCTCGCGGGCCCCATGTCTCGGTGGGTTCTCGCGGGCCCCATGTCTCGGTGGGTTCTCGAGGGCCCCATGTCTCGGTGGGTTCTCGAGGGCCCCATGTCTCGGTGGGTTCTCGAGGGCCCCATGTCTCGGTGGGTTCTCGAGGGCCCCATGTCTCGGTGGGTTCTCGCGGGCCCCATGTCTCGGTGGGTTCTCGAGGGCCCCATGTCTCGGTGGGTTCTCGAGGGCCCCATGTCTCGGTGGGTTCTCGAGGGCCCCATGTCTCAGTGGGTTCTCGCGGGCCCCATGTCTCGGTGGGTTCTCGCGGGCCCCATGTCTCGGTGGGTTCTCGAGGGCCCCATGTCTCGGTGGGTTCTCGAGGGCCCCATGTCTCGGTGGGTTCTCGAGGGCCCCATGTCTCGGTGGGTTCTCGAGGGCCCCATGTCTCGGTGGGTTCTCGAGGGCCCCATGTCTCGGTGGGTTCTCGAGGGCCCCATGTCTCGGTGGGTTCTCGAGGGCCCCATGTCTCGGTGGGTTCTCGAGGGCCCCATGTCTCGGTGGGTTCTCGCGGGCCCCATGTCTCGGTGGGTTCTCGAGGGCCCCATGTCTCGGTGGGTTCTCGAGGGCCCCATGTCTCGGTGGGTTCTCGCGGGCCCCATGTCTCGGTGGGTTCTCGCGGGCCCCATGTCTCGGTGGGTTCTCGAGGGCCCCATGTCTCGGTGGGTTCTCGAGGGCCCCATGTCTCGGTGGGTTCTCGAGGGCCCCATGTCTCGGTGGGTTCTCGAGGGCCCCATGTCTCGGTGGGTTCTCGAGGGCCCCATGTCTCGGTGGGTTCTCGCGGGCTCTGGTTCAGAAGATCTACTCGGTCCTCATATCTTAACAGGCAGAATATGAGGGTGCGGGGACGGCTACGGTTACTATTGCCACTGTAGATTCAGTGTGCCCCGTTGAATTTCAATCTTCCTCCCTTGTAGCAACGATATCCATTTTGGTAGATTCTCCTGAAGAAAACCTTCTTCCACCATATCCTTAAGTGATTTAATTTATCCCGAAAGCAGTTCCTCCAGGGATTCCTTAACTGCTTGTTTCACCATTGCCTGCATCGAAGTTTGTTGTTGATTCAGAGCCTTCAATATGGCAGTGTTGGCTGTATCCTCGCTGGTCATAGTTGACTCGGTGTCTTTCTTTGGGACGCTTCTCTGTGCCTTAATTGAGTGTCCTCCGTCGCGTAGGTCCATGTTATTAAGCATTTTGAAGGTTCAGAGGCAAGTTGTCAGGAATTTATTAAGGATTTTGGACTTTTGAGACGGTACTCAGAACTACACGTGCATCTCTGCCAAAAGGCCACCCGAAGTCAACCATCTGTTCTTTTGACTGTACGACTCAAAAAAGATCAGAGTCAGTAAAAAGAGCCGAACTTCCCATCACTATTACAGAGATCGAAATTAAAAAGTGAAACATTGTTTCCGAGGTCAGACAGGCTTATATTAACCCCCGCTGTACCAAACCAAACGCTAGGCTGGAAGCAAAGGGGAAATAATGAGTTGAGATAAATACAAGAGATGATTCAGACAGCAACATGAACATTATATTATTATGGAGGCGCAGTGATCGTTTTCAGTTGCCAGGCAGAGGTGTGTCTGCGACAGCCAATACAGCGCGGCTTGGACCGCTGCTCGTCCAATCAGCATCCAGGATCCAAACAACCAGTTTTATAATATACAGTACATGACTCTTGAAAGACAAGTAGTATTAAGATGGACAGCTTGCTATTCTGCATGCAAGAAATATTACTATAATTGACCTTATTTATTGAAATACACTCTTCTATGGATGACAATAAAATGTATGGATGAAAGGGTTTACTTAAGATTGATCCCTGTGCTTTCTCCTCAGCTCCAGTCCAGCCTCCAGACAACCTTGTGTGGATTCAGGAAGGGACGAACATATCATTAAACTGGGACCCGGTTAAGTCTAAAGACAACGAGTCAGATGTCATAGGATACAAGGTATGCCCCCCTTACTGTACTGGCCAGGCCACCTTACTGTACTGGCCAGGCCTCCTTACTGTACTGGCCAGGCCACCTTACTGTACTGGCCAGGTCTACTTCCTCTACTGGCCAGGTCTCCTTCCTCTACTGGCCAGGTCTCCTTCCTCTACTGGCCAGGTCTACTTACTGTACTGGCCAGGTCTCCTTACTGTACTGGCCAGGTCTACTTACTGTACTGGCCAGGTCTACTTACTGTACTGGCCAGGTCTCCTTACTGTACTGGCCAGGTCTACTTACTGTACTGGCCAGGTCTCCTTACTGTACTGGCCAGGTCTACTTACTGTACTGGCCAGGTCTACTTACTGTACTGGCCAGGTCTCCTTACTGTACTGGCCAGGTCTACTTACTGTACTGGCCAAGTCTACTTACTGTACTGGCCAGGTCTACTTACTGTACTGGCCAGGTCTACTTACTGTACTGGCCAGGTCTACTTACTGTACTGGCCAGGTCTACTTACTGTACTGGCCAGGTCTACTTACTGTACTGGCCAAGTCTACTTACTGTACTGGCCAGGTCTAAAAGAGGACTTCCTGGATAAATAATGGTTGAAAAAAGAAAAGAAAAGTAGAACCGCCATTTCAGCTAATACTCATTCATTTCAGCTAATACTCATTCATTTCAGCCAATACCCATTAATTTCAGCTAATACTCATTCATTTCAGCTAATACTCATTCGTTTCAGCTAATACCCATTCATTTCAGCTAATACTCATTCATTTCAGCTAATACTCATTCATTTCAGCTAATACCCATTCATTTCAGCTAATACCCATTCATCTCAGCTAATACTCATTCATCTCAGCTATGCTCATTCAATCTCAGCTAATGCTAATTCATCTCAGCTAATGCTCATTAATCTCATTAATCTCAGCTAATTCTCATTAATCTCAGCTAAAGCTCATTAATCTCAGCTAATGCTCATTAATCTCAGCTAATGCTCATTAATCTCAGCTAATACTCATTAATCTCAGCTAATGCTCATTAATCTCAGCTAATACTCATTAATCTCAGCTAAAACTCATTAATCTCAGCTAATGCTCATTCATCTCAGCTAATGCTCATTAATCTCAGCTAATACTCATTCATTTATATTTTTAAAAAATTTGGTCATTTAGCAGACGCTCTTATCCAGAGCGACTTACAGTTAGTGAGTGCATACATATTCATATCTCAGCTAATGCTCATTAATCTCATTAATCTCAGCTAATGCTAATTAATCTCAGCTAATACTCATTAATATCAGCCAATACACATTCATCTCAGCTAATGATCATGCATCTTATCTAATACTCATTCATCTCATTCATTTCAGCTAATACTCATTAATATCAGCTAATGCTCATTAATCTCAGTTTATGCTCATTAATCTCAGCTAATGCTAATTCATCTCAGCTAATGCTCATTAATCTCAGCTAATACTCATTCATCTTGGAACCGGTGTCCTGGCTTGATTCCCATCCTGGCACCCATACTATCATACTGTATATAGCCTCTTAATCACCCCCAGCTAACTCATCCAACCATACTATCATACTGAATATAGCCTCTTAATCACCCCCAGCTAACTTATCCACCCATACTATCATACTGAATATAGCCTCTTAATCACCCCCAGCTAACTCATCCAACCATACTATCATACTGTATATAGCCTCTTAATCACCCCCAGCTAACTCATCCACCCATACTATCATACTGAATATAGCCTCTTAATCACCCCCAGCTAACTCATCCAACCATACTATCATACTGTATATAGCCTCTTAATCACCCCCAGCTAAGTCATCTTCTCTGCTACCCTTTCCCAGGTCAGCTGGTGTAAATGAGAACGTTTTCTCAGTCACCTTAAAATAAAGGTAGAATAAATGCTAACAGACTAAACGGCAGATACAAACTGCCTATAGGCTACATCATCTATGGAAGACAGCTGGAGCCAGTAACCACAGGGCCAGCATCTGTTTAGGTCTTATTAGCGTCTGGCAGTGACCTGTCTGAATAAACATAGCCTACAGGTATGCAACAATGTCTACTGTGCCATCTTGACCTGAGGAAGGCTGTTGCAACTGAAACATTGTATATGTGGCTACGGGAATAAGACACTGTCTGTACAAACAGTATCTGCTGGTTTACATTCAGTTATAACCCAGGAGCAGTCAAACCTGAAGGTGTTATAACCCAGGAGCAGTCAAACCTGAAGGTGTTATAACCCAGGAGCAGTCAAACCTGAAGGTGTTATAACCCAGGAGCAGTCAAACCTGAAGGAAAAAGAAGACCAGCACTATTTCTCTACATGTATTACATCAGCAGGCTCAACTGTGGGCGAATGTTGTTTGTGGGTCCTACAGGTTGATTGATTGATTGATTGATTGATTGATGAATTGATTGATTGACTGACTGATGATTGATTGACTGACTAACTGACTGACTGATTGATTGATTGATTGATTGACTGATGATTGATTGATTGGTTCTGGGTCCAACTACAGGTGTTGTTGAGTCAGGAGGGGCGTGTCCACCATCAGGTGGTGAGGACCATCACCACCTCGGCCGTCCTCTCTCTCCCAGAGGGGGGCACCTACGTCATTGAGGTGCGGGCAGTGAGTGAAGGGGGAGAGGGAGCAGCCAGCTCCCAGGTCAGAGTACTCACCTCTTCTGGTAAGACAAGACACTGGGGGCCACACTCAATAAACACACATTGTGGTATTTCTATTAAATAGCAGGCTAGGAGTTAATGGTCTCATCTAGAGCAACAGAATCCACCTCTCTCTCCACCTGCGCTGTTTTTCTTTCTACCGATATTCTGTTAAAAGTCCAATGCAGCCGTTTTTAGTACAATATCAAATTTCTATGTAACAATTACGTACCTTACTGTGATTTTTTTATTTATTTAAAACATTGTCAAACGGAAGCAAGAATTTAGCTAGGACTGTCTGGGAGTGGTCTGAGTGGGGAGGGGCAAACTGAAAACTAGCTGTTATTGGCAGAGAGGTTTGGAACTCTCTTTCTTATTGGTTTATTAACTAATTTACCACCTGGGGATGTCGCTAGGCAGGCCAAAATTCCATTCCACCAAAACAGGAAGACATTTCAATCTTTTCAAACAGCTCTTACACTAAAAGGGCATTATCACCATTTTCACAATTTCACAGAATTATTCCAACCTCATAGTGTGGAAATATATAAAACACAGAACACCACGTTGTTGACTGCACTGGGCCTTTAAAGTGCTTAATTGAGTCACCACAGCTGTTGCCTCAGCCAAGTTTCCCTTGGCTAATACTGTTTTAATTAACCACCTCTACACACACACCACTGCACACACACACACACACACACACACACACACACACATACACACACACACACACACACACACACCACTGCACACACACACACACACACACACACATACACACACTCACTCTCACACACACACACCACTGAACACACACACACCCACCTACGCCACTGCACAGCCATTTAACTATCAAACAAGAGAAATGTAAAGTTGACAATTTTCTACTAACACTAGTATAAAGTTGTTCCGATCAGACGTCTAAATGTGTCGTTTTCTCATTCTCTGCCAGAGGAAATATTCATTTCTGCAGTTTCAAAGCTGCTAAGAATTCATGTCAGACTGCTGTGTGTGCTTAGTTTGTGTCTGAGAAGAAACCGGTCCTGTTGATTGGAACTGTTTTGTCTTTCTTATTGCACAAGCCTTAACTTGTTATTTTCCCTTTACATGCTGATGTTTTAAGGAGCTTGTTGTCTAACCCAGAATGCAAAACTGAATATCGCTTCACTAGTGTTTTCTCAGTGAAGTCAAACAAAAATGAAATGGAGTTTCAGTTTGGATTCCAGGCTGACTTTAGTCCTCTACTCTCTGCCTTTAGTCCTCTACTCTCTGCCTTTAGTCCTCTACTCTCTGCCTTTAGTCCTCTACTCTCTGCCTTTAGTCCTCTACTCTCTGCCTTTAGTCCTCTACTCTCTGCCTTTAGTCCTCTACTCTCTGCCTTTAGTCCTCTACTCTCTGCCTTTAGTCCTCTACTCTCTGCCTTTAGTCCTCTACTCTCTGCCTTTAGTCCTCTACTCTCTGCCTTTAGTCCTCTACTCTCTGCCTTTAGTCCTCTACTCTCTGCCTTTAGTCCTCTACTCTCTGCCTTTAGTCCTCTACTCTCTGCCTTTAGTCCTCTACTCTCTCTCTGCCTTTAGTCCTCTACTCTCTGCCTTTAGTCCTCATACTCTCTTGTCCTTTAGTCCTCCTACCTCATTCCCTTCTCCCCATCCATCCTTCCATTCCCTGTCTCCCATCTACATCCTGTTCCATTCCTCTTTGTCTCCCATTCATCCTTCCATTTCCCTGTCTCCCCATCCATCCTTCCATTCCCCTGTCTCCCCATCCATCCTTCCATTCCCCTTGTCTCCCCATTCATCCTTCCATTTCCCCATATTCCATCCCCATCCATCATCCTTCCATTCCCCTGTCTCCCCATCCATCCTTCCATTCCCCTGTCTCCCCATCATCCTTCCATTCCCTGTCTCCCCATCCATCCTTCCATTCCCCTGTCTCCCCATCCATCCTTCCATTCCCCTGTCTCCCATCATCCTTCATCCTTTCCATCCATCCTTCATCCTTCCCCATCATCTCATTCCATTCCCCTTCTCCCCATCCATCCTTCCATTCCCCCTGTCTCCCCATCCATCCTTCCATTCCCCTATCTCCCCATCCATCCTTCCATTCCCCTGTCTCCCCATCCATCCTTCCATTCCCCTGTCTCCCCATTCATCCTTCCATTCCCCTATCTCCCCATCCATCCTTCCATTCCCCTGTCTCCCCATCCATCCTTCCATTCCCCTGTCTCCCCATTCATCCTTCAATTTCCCTGTCTCCCCATCCATCCTTCCATTCCCTCGTCTCCCCATTCATCCTTCCATTCCCCTGTCTCCCCATTCATCCTTCCATTCCCCTGTCTCCCCATTCATCCTTCCATTCCATTGTCTCCCCATTCATCCTTCATTTCCCCTGTCTCCCCATTCATCCTTCCATTCCCCCTGTCTCCCCATCCATCCTTCCATTCCCCTGTCTCCCTCCATCCCCTCCATTCCCCCTTTCTCTCTCCACCCCTCCATCCCCTCCACCCCTCCATCCCCTCCATCCTTCCATCCCTAGGTGTCCGGGTGAAGAGTGGCCAGTGTTCGGTTCACAGCCTGCTACCTTGGGGTCTGACATGGACTACTGCTCTGCTCCTCTCTGTTCCTCTGGTGCCTTCAGCTTCCTGGTGAGGCCTCCTCCTCCATCCCTCCAATCTCCTTTACCTGGAGGGACTGGACCTCTCCTCCTTTTCTCCTCCCTCGTTCCTTCCATCCCTCCAGACTTCCGCTTGCTCCCTTACCCTCAGACTGTGCAGGATCCCTCCTGCCATCCCTCAGCCAACCAGGCCAGCTGCAGGGATCCATTACAACCATCCATCAGCCAACCAGGCCCAGGGCCTGCCAAGGGGATCCACTCCTGACAAACCATACCCATCAGCCAACAGGCCCAGGGCCTGCCAAGGGATCCACTCCTGACAAACATACCCATCAGCCAACCAGGCCAGGGCCTGCCAAGGGGATCCACTCCTGACAAACCATACCCATCAGCCAACCAGGCCCAGGGCCTGCCAAGGGGATCCACTCCTGACAAACCATACCCATCAGCCAACCAGGCCCAGGGCCTGCCAAGGGGATCCACTCCTGACAAACCATACCCATCAGCCAACCAGGCCCAGGGCCTACCAAGGGGATCGATCCGCTCCTGACACCAACAAACCAACAGATGGTTTACAGATGACGGATGGTTAAAAAATAACATTCTTCTAGCTTTTTTATTTTCTGGGAGTTGAACTAAACTTTATTTAGTATGTTTTGTTATGGTAGTTCTTTTCAAGCATCACTTGTAGTGTTGTACTGTAACTGTGCATTGTTGTGGAAAGACTCTTGTTTAATCATTTAGACTGCGCCCCAAATGGCACCCTATTCCCTATATAGGGCCTTATGGGCCTGGTCAAAAGTAGTGCGCTATGTAGGGAATAGGGTGCCATTTGGGACACAGTTTCTTTAAATGTATGGCCTGTTGTTTTCTTGTCATTGCCTGGCGACTGGCATCTAACTGCTTCCAGATGGTGGCCCAACCGCTCAGAGGCTCTACACAGTGGGAACAATTCCCTGAAAGCTGCTGCTGTTGAGGTGTTCTGGCTGGCTGACTGGCTAACTGGCTGACTGGCTAACAGGCTGGCTGACTGGCTAACTGGCTAACTGGCTGACTGGCTAACTGGCTGACTGGCTAACTGGCTGACTGGCTAACTGGCTGACTGGCTAACAGGCTGGCTGACTGGCTGACTGGCTAACTGGCTGACTGGCTAACAGGCTGGCTGACTGGCTAACTGGCTAACTGGCTGTCTGGCTGTCTATGTGTCTGGCTGGCTGGCTGTCTATGTGTCTGGCTGGCTGTCTGGCTGGCTGGCTGTCTGGCTGGCTGGCTGTATGAGTGTATGTCTGTCTGTCTGGCTGGCTGGCTGTCTATGTGTCTGGCTGTCTGGCTGTCTGGCTGGCTGTCTGTCTGGCTGTCTGGCTGTCTGGCTGTCTGGTTGTCTGGCTGTCTGGCTGTCTGGCTGTATGAGTGTCTGTCTGGCTGGCTGGCTGTCTGGCTGTCTGGCTGGCTGGCTGTCTATGTGTCTGGCTGGCTGGCTGTCTGTCTGGCTGGCTGTCTGGCTGGCTGTCTGGCTGTCTGGCTTTATGAGTGTCTGTCTGGCTGGCTGTCTGGCTGTCTGTCTGGCTGTCTGTAAGGTTGTCTAGCTGTCTGTCTGGCTGTTTTTAAGGTTGTCTGGCTGTCTGTCTGGCTGTCTGTAAGGTTGTCTAGCTGTCTGTCTGGCTGTCTGTAAGGTTGTCTAGCTGTCTGTCTGGCTGTCTGTAAGGCTGTAATACTGGGATCAGCCTGATTCAGCCTGGCCTCCGTCTCTCTTCTCATTAGTTATCTGCATCCATGTACTCCTTGGCTGCCTAACAAGCATCGCAGCAGCTCAGTAGAGATCAGTGTTTTCTTCAGAGAGAGAATGGAGAGTGAACAATGAGAGAATAAGAAAAAACACATTTTTATAGTATTTCCAGACTTGCTTTTTGTACTTTGTGTTACCTTCAGAAACAAAAACAAAAAGTGAGTGGTGTGTGTTTCGGCTAGGTCAACGTTTCTGTTTTTCAGATGTCGAAGAGCAGTGCTTGGTAATCTGGTGGACTGGTGGATGTATCTGAGGTGAGGTGAGGTAGGGTGACAGACAGGTATACCTGACCACCTGGACTCACCTGTAGTGCCCAACACATCTTTAGACAAAGACTTGACGACTCTGTGGAGTCTCATGGTGTCAGTACAAATAAATGGGATGTATATTTTTTAAATGATTGTGGTCTGTCTTTACTATCAACTCTAGTCTTTGTGTTCAACATCATGGCAATCCAATCCAATCACGTCAGGGCTGATTTCCTGTTTCTCTCTAAACTGCACCAATACACTTTTCCTGACATTGTGTACCCTGATAATTGACGCAATGCTAATGTGATACATGTATATCCTGCTGAAAGGGAGACATATAGTCAGTCCTCCTGATCGTTCTGTGTTCCCTGATGATATATCCTGCTGAAGGGAGACATGTGGTCAGTCCTCCTGATCGTTCTCAGTGTTCCCTGATGATATATCCTGCTGAAAGGGAGACATGTGGTCAGTCCTCCTGATCGTTCTCAGTGTTTCCCTGATGATATATCCTGCTGAAGGGAGACATGTGGTCAGTCCTCCTGATCGTTCTCAGTGTTCCCTGATGATATATCCTGCTGAAAGGGAGACATGTGGTCAGTCCTCCTGATCGTTCTCAGTGTTCCCTGATGATATATCCTGCTGAAGGGAGACATGTGGTCAGTCCTCCTGATCGTTCTCAGTGTTCCCTGATGATATATCCTGCTGAAGGGAGACATGTGGTCAGTCCTCCTGATCGTTCCTCAGTGTTCCCTGATGATATATCCTGCTGAAGGGAGACATGTGGTCAGTCCTCCTGATCGTTCTCAGTGTTCCCTGATGATATATCCTGCTGAAGGGAGACATGTGGTCAGGTCCCTCCTGATCGTTCTCAGTGTTCCCTGATGATATATCCTGCTGAAGGGAGACATGTGGTCAGTCCTCCTGATCGTTCTCAGTGTTCGCTGATGATATATCCTGCTGAAGAGAGACGTGGTCAGTCCTCCTGATCGTTCTCAGTGTTCGCTGATGATATATCCTGCTGAAGGGAGACATGTGGTCAGTCCTCCTGATCGTTCTCAGTGTTCCCTGATGATATATCCTGCTGAAGGGAGACATGTGGTCAGTCCTCCTGATCGTTCTCAGTGTTCCCTGATGATATATCCTGCTGAAAGGGAGACATGTGGTCAGTCCTCCTGATCGTTCTCAGTGTTCCCTGATGATATATCCTGCTGAAAGGGAGACATGTGGTCAGTCCTCCTGATCGTTCTCAGTGTTCCCTGATGATATATCCTGCTGAAGAGAGACGTGGTCAGGGTACAGATCGTTCTCCTGTGGTATGTTGATGTGATTTATTATGTAAATGGTACAGGTACGGAGTCCCAAGCTCATTACAGTATTCCAGTATATTACTCTCATTTCGGGGCGGCAGGTAGCTTAGTGGTTAAGAGCGTTGTGCCAGTAACCGAAAGGTCGCTGGTTCTAATCCCCGAGCCGACTAGGTGAAAAATCTGCCGATGTGCCCTTGAGCAAGGCACTTAACCCTAATTGCTCATGTAAGTCGCTCTGGATAAGAGCGTCTGCTAAAATGTAAATGTAAAATTTCCAATGTGATTCATGATTAATAATGGCGCCGGAGGAGATGGCTGCCGTTTTACGGGCTCCTAACCAACCGTGCTGATTTCTGTGTTTTTTCGCATTGTTTTTAATGTTGCTGCTACTGTCTCTTATGACCGTAAAGAGCTGGACATCAGAACAGCGATTACTCACCTGGAACTGGATAAAGATTTTTTATTTAATGAGTCTGACGTGAAGGATATACTGTTTCTCCCGGACCAGGCCCAAATCCCCGTCATTCGCATGAAGAAATGACAGGGGGTGCCTTGTGAGAATTTGTCTGCGAATTTGTCGGTAACCCACCTCTACCATCCGTTCTATTGGCCAACGTGCAATCATTGGAGAATAAACTGGATGAGCTCCGTTCAAGACTATCCTACCAACAGGACATTAACTGTAATATCTTATGTTTCACCGAGTCGTGGCTGAACGACGACACGGATAATATACAGTTGGCTGGGTTTTCCGTGCATCGGCAGGATGCTATGCTACAGGACTGTTTTGCTAGCACAGACTGGAATATGTTCCGTGGATTCATCCAATGGCATTGAGGAGTACACCACCTCAGTCACCGGCTTCATCAATAAGTATATCGACAACGTCGTCCCCACTGACCGTACGTACATACCCCAACCAGAAGCCATGGATTACAGGCAACATTCGAAACGAGCTAAAGGCTAGAGCTGCCGCTTTCAAGGAGCGGGACACTAATCCTGACGCTTATAATAAATCCAGCTATGCTCTCAGACGAACCATCAAACAGGCAAAGCGTCAATACAAGACTAAGATTGAATCCTATTACACCGGCTCTGACGCTCGTAGGATATGGCAGGGCTTGCAAACTATTATGGGCTACAAAGGGAAACCCAGCCGCGAGCTGCCCAGTGACGCGAGCCTACCAGAAGGGTTAAATGCCATTTATGCTCGCTTCGAGGCAAGCAACACTGAAGCATGCATGAGAGCACCAACTGTTCCAGACGGCTGCGTGATCACGTTCTCGGTAGCCGATGTTTTGTTTTCATTTTTATTTTATTTCACCTTTATTTAACCAGGTATACCAGTTGAGAACAAGTTCTCATTTACAACTGCGACCCGGCCAAGATAAAGCAAAGCAGTGTGAAAAAATAAAAACAACACCGAGTTACATATGGAGTAAACAAAACGTACAGTCAATAACACAATAGAAAATCTATATACAGTGTGTGCAAATGTAGTAAGTTATGGAGGTAAGGCAATAAATAGGCCATAGTGCAAAATAATTACAATTTAGTATTAACACTGGAATGATGGATGTGCAGAAGATGATGTGCAGATAGAGATACTGGGGTGAAAATTAGCAAAAAAAATAACAATATGGGGATGAGGTAGTTGGGTGGGCTAATTACAGATGGGCTGTGTA